GTTAAAAAAAATCCAATTGAGCTGAATCATGCTGGCAATCCCTCCTGTGGATATCTCTGCAGAACCTAATGCTTTGTACCCCAGGAGTTGCATGGTATATTGGATCCTAAGTGGTGCAAAATTCCTCCATCCATTGTCTCACCACCACGGTATAAATCCTATCTTGCACAGATCCTTCTGGGGCCTTGCAAGTCTGGGTTTAGAGCCAGAGCTTCAACCACGCAAAACCACGATCCCCGGCAACGATCCCTCGCACCGATCCCTGAAGGCCTGCGAAGCCCTAAGCTGGATCATCTGGTCCTTCCGTCGCATCTTCGGGTGTTGAAGATGTGAGCTTGGAGGTTGGCTGAGGATCTGGGCTTGGGGTTCGGGTTCGCTGGCATGCTGTGGTGGGATGCTGTGCTCGGACGATTCTAGCAATGGGATATCCTTGTTCGAAGGCTCCTTCAAAGATCAGTTCCTTTTTTAGGCATGTGGACAGGAGGCCAGCCGAAACCTGGCTATGCAAACCACTCCTCCCAACATCAAGCATCATCATGATAGCCTCTACGGCCCAAAACGCGATGAATACGGCACGGCTGGATACCTGGGAGTACGGAACTGCCGACATCTGAAGCAGGCATGCTGCCCAATTTAGTTCGAGACTTGCCAACTGAAACTTTAAACAAAAATCAGCTCTGCTCCATAGCGTCAACTTGCTAGGCTATCGTATCAGTACTGTCCGCTTTCCACAAGGTCTCTCCAAAACTGCAAAGCATAGCTGTCTAGGTCACGCAAACCCAACTGCAGATGCAAGAGTGGTTCAAAGCTGGAGGCCCAAAACCAGCAGCCTCACAAGGATTGGTAAGTTCCAGTAGCTTTAATCGCACACCTGTTCCCATTCTACAGTTAAGCGTCACTGAGCTAGCAAATCAAATTGACTTCTCTCCCTCCCAAGCTACTGTAAGACATTATGCAAGGTACATGAAGAAGCCAGGGTGTTTCATCAACTTCTGTTGTCTTCGGAACACTGAAAAATACAAACGCCTGCTGCAGTCAACGTTTTGGGTGGCGATGTCATCTGCAAACAACGGGTATTTTCGCAGTCTGCGAAACGTGCTATGACATAAATCAATCACTCTTCTACCACGGTTGTCTCCATGGCAATCTGTGTCACTGCTTGCACGCCACGGATTTGAACTCTTCTGCGATTCTACCACAGCCCTGAAACTTGACCCGCCTTGTCTCAGGACCACACTGGCAGCTCGGGTGAATGCTCTAGGCCGTAATTCAAAGATTGGCTCAAGTGCGCTGATTGCTAAGTAATCAGTATTCCGAGATCTTGGCCTGTGTCTGGAATTTGCTGTGGTCACATCAAATATTTACCGTCCTGGCATGCTGGGAGCAACCTGGCACCTGCGTTGGCTAGATGGCTGATGCACGGCTGCAAGCCCGAATGCTATGCGAAGACTTGGGCTTTTGGGCACCTTCTTGCGTAGGATTCCAACAAACGAACATGTAAACTGCCTAGGCCTCCCGTAAACACCGTATACGCACTACAGAGAATCAGCCGACCCCGAAGTCATCATGCTCTTCCTGAGAAGATGTTGCAGCAGGCTCCGCTCCTCTATTGCTCACGTGCAGCCAGAATTCAAGACTTTTTCCTTTGGCCCACTCGTACAGTGACCCTGTGAACAATCACAATTGTGGCACAATCCTGTCCGCTAATTGCACAAACAAGTCCGCAGTTTTCGATCATCCGCTGAAATCCAAAAAACGATTCATGCTGTGGAATTCCTGAATTCTCTGTACACCGGAGAGCAGCCGAATTATGTAGTTCAGCTCATGCAAGCTTTGACCGGATGCAAACATGAATGAGGCCTGGCAAAGATCGCCACGCCCTTACAAGCAACCGAATAACAGCAAGACGCACTGAACCTCTGTGAGACTGCGCAACACTTGAGAGGGCATGCTGCTTTGCTTGCACAACTGAGCCAGGTACGGTGTCAATCCAAACAGGCATACACTAACGCCAGTGGGGAAAAATTTCCATCTCTAGTTCCCCCAAGGAAGCTTACTTGCCCACCGTGCCAAAGCTAGCTTCCTCCAAGCCTCATTCCAGAGCTGCTGAAACGCAGCGTCAAGTCCTGCAGTTGCCCCGGCAAAAGAGTGACAGGGTAGGTTAATTGTTTGGGATATACTGTCCACTAACTCAGATTAATTTTCAAGTGGTTAGTGACAGGTGTTGGATGCAAAACGGAATCTAGCATTGTTGGCTGGCAAAAGCTGCATGTTGTGAGACGACATGTGGAGCTTTCTTTTGAAACTGCTTCCCCACTCAGTCGCTGCCTTTCCCAGAATATGTAATGCCTACCGGTCACATTCAAGACTATATTGTTAGCTGGTACGTGCATATTGCTGTCCGATCTACCCCTAATCTTCTACAGTACCTTGTACACCCTATGTGCAACTTTCTAGATCTCAGACACAATACATAATGTGAGCTCCAGCCACTATTTCGCCATATAATCAATGGACATGGGTTCCTATTAGGGAATATGTGTGGGACTATACTAAACTACCAACGGGACGCCTCTGTCCACCCTTCATGGTCCCTAGGCAAGCCTAACACTGACCGTCAGCTCATGTGAACACCTGCGTAACAGCTTGCTGCTGGGCTACTTCATAGCGTAAAGAGTGCTGATGGCAAAGGGGCAGCACGCATTCCACAAAACAGTTTCTTCTGCTCATCAGTCAGGATTCCATGATTTCGCGAGACCCGGACTCATATCCATTCACCGTGCAGGACAGAAACAAGTGTGAGCCTGAGTCTAAGTCAAAACACAAAGAGAGCTATGAAGTCCACACAAGCACGGTTCCCATCTGATGAGTGAGAAGGTAGCCTGCGGCTAGGGTCCAAACCTGCCACATGTGCATCAGGTCTAGGCGACCGCACCAACTACGAAAGCTGAGGCAGATACGTAACATGCAGGCCTATACTCCTGAATGCACAAGCCTTCCCAGCACGACCCCTGGGTCCAGGCCGCCCTCGCATACAGGGCATCCTGTATGGTCCTCCCTATTATGCCGCCACCAAACTATACAGGATTCTTATGACCATGATCTGACCTCGCACCCACTTTTCTCCGACCGGCCAACTGTACAATGGCGGCTCTAAGAGCACAGGGGTTCAGAGGGCGAACAGATGAGAGCTATGCTGTCTCTTTGGCACATAGAACGCGGCGAGCACGTTGTATCAGTTGGGCCCTCTGCCTCTGTGTTCTACCTCTCTCGGGATGCCTTGAAGCAGAGATCCTACAAGAAATCCCTGGAAGGCTGCAGGCACAGCCAGAATTATGAAACTCACCTGAGCCATTGTCTAAACTCCTAGTATCCCCTTTAATAACCCCTATAGTAGTACCCTATATAATCCCTTATCTATCCCCTTTAAGGAGTTTAGAGTATGGCTCACGTAGCAAGGCCCTGGTCAAGGAATCAACACTGCCATCAACCCTGGTCCTTCGACTTTGAAAGCCTTATGGATTGAGATACAGGGGGGGTTCCCATAATTAGGGGTACCATTATGGGGGGTTGCCATAATAAGGGGTCTATATTGGGGTCCCCCTATTCAGGGGAACTACCCCAGAAGTCTGTGAGATTAAAAAAAATCTCTGACCGTCCTGCTGTATGTACATCCAATGTGAGTCCACAGAGTCCTACCAGCAGTACAAAGGCGTTTCTCGAAAGTGCGGTCTCACTAAAGACCCCAAATTCAGATGATGATTCAACGTTATAATATGTGCATCCGAAGCGGAAAGTCAGGCTTTTGTGAAGCCTCCGTTACAGTAGCTTCCAAAGATAAGGCCCAATCTTTGCACGCCTGGTGCAGAACCATGAGCAAAAGAGGTCCAGATTTTCGAGAACGGCCCAAATGGACAGCCATTCAGCCGCACCAAATTGTGTGAGAAGCCTGCGAGTGCAGAGATATATGGGGCTCCGCCCTGCGACTTTCACGGTGGAGGGGCCGTCCGCCCGTGTGTATCCTTTGTGCTTGAATTCTGGATTAGGGGTGTAAAGTAAAGCTTAGGGCGTGGAGTTCGGTTAGGGCTTTTCAGCTTTTGAGGATTGGGCGAGTTTGGGCCATTTGTGTGAGTACTCTGGCTAAGCCGCGTAAACTGCAAACCTCCGCGGCCTTCTTGAGAGATCAGAGAAGACAAAATTGAAAGATCGAGCTAAAACCCTGAGTCCGAAAAAACCTGAGATTTGAACCCTTCAACCCTAAAGCTCAGCCTAGCTTCTTTGCAGAGGATTGCCGAAAGCCAGTCCAGGCCCTCAAACAAGCCGTCCCCCGTGATGGCAGCTGCTGGCTGCACATGCCATTCTCGTGCCAGGCTTTCCTTACGAGAGAGAAGGGGGTTTGGGTTTCAGGGTTTAGCAGCCTAGGTTGCCGTAAGCTCCAAAGGTCCAGAGCACTCACTCAAATCCTTTGGTCGAAGCACCTCAAGATTTACTGATATTCATATATACATACATATACACACACAAGCCCTGCACCCTACAGTCCTCTACAGAAATCCTGTAGGCATCCCTCATGATCCCCAACCAACTCCTTCACCACTCAGTCCCCCGATAGACTACACCTCCTCTGAAATTCCCCGGTCAAAGTTTCAAGTCCCAGCAGGCTGGATATCTTCTCTACCCCCAGAGCGCCCGGGAGGTCTTGCCTGGGATAGGATGGACTGGGATGGAAGGATACTTTGGCACCTTTCTGCGAATTCACACAAAGTTTATCACAAAGGGTACTGGATAGATGGGCTTTTACTGGGGATCGCTTGGGTTGTTATGAGAAAGTACCAAATCATACATTTTTGAGTTTTGATGCCCCAGCCTACAGGTTGTAGATCACGCGCGGGTTGACGAAACCTTTTTCCCGGCCTGAACCCTGAATCCAAGATAAGCCTGAACCCTAAACCCTAAACCCTGGACCCAAACCCTAATCCCGAGACACTGCTCCTTCGAACCTAAAACATAGACCTTATCTCTTTCGTGGGACAGCCGAGTCGCTTGTTGGCCCAGACCAGCAGCGGTAGGGCTCCTGCACGGCCATTTGCCTCAGCAGTCCGCTATGGACTTTCGGGGGCTTACTCGGGAATCTGGGCATCGCAGCAAGGATTGTAGAGGGATAGCTTGGACTTCATGAAATGGCAACGCAAACCTCCTCCCCAGCATGATCCCAACCCTGATTCCCCCACCTGCGCCGCCAATTCAGCGCGCGCCAGATCCATCCGGACTACATCTGCGCTGTCGATCACGTAAATCATGGCATCTGTTTCCGCGCTGTTGAGACCGTGATGCTTCCAGATGTGTCGTATCCTGCTTTCTGCTTTCAGATAAGACAATATGACCTGCCAGTTATCATCGTAATACATATTAGTGGCTATGATCACGGTAATCACAGCAAGGCTTGTTGAAAATGGATTCTTCTTCATGTTTGGCATCCTGTCGTTCCCTCCGATGTCCCACAGAGCAAAGGACACCGACTTGAACTCAATAGTCTCCACGTTCAGGCCCATTGTAGGCTCAGTGTCCAATTTAGCCCTACCCGATCGGAGCTTGTACAGTGCCGTCGTCTTGCCCACTCCATTGAGGCCCAGCATCACAACTTTGAACCTCCAGAGTGCATAGTGCATGGAGGGCGTTTACTTGGAGGGTCATGGGGGCTTAGTAAATAGGCTAATGATGCAGATAATTGGGGTTCTTATATGGCTTATAGGGGGCCTGTACCTGGAAATCACTGAGAGCTCCAGCGTTGCCTGAATCTGCAGCCCTTCTACAACACTGACCCAGGCCCCAGAAAGGATCCCGTAATGCAGACCGTACCCCGGGTAGGGGGTAACTGTTCGAGCTCGAGTTCGAGCTCCGACCAAGTTT